TATGTCAACTAAAATCAGAAGAACGTAAAAGAGCTGTAGAAGCAAACAAGCAAATAATTTTTAATTGCAGTAATAAAGAACATGAGTCCCCAATATTAAACAATCTTATAGAATATAGATGCTAATAGATGAAAATGCACCAACTAAAAATTCAACTAAAAAAAAAAATCTCTTGTAAAGAAGCAGGAATCCAAACTGGACAAGATTACTTAACAGCCAACAATGAAAATTAGATAAATAGTGGAAGAGTTTCTTCATAATTTATAAGATAGTGGTTGTCAGTATAAAATCATAAAAGCTATACATCCTGTCTGAAGGCAGAATATGGACTTACAGAAACATTGAAAGTCTCGGCAGAATTTTAGTTCCTATGTACTTTTTCAATCTAGGTTTCTTAACAGATAGCCTTTTTTAAGAGTTTTAGGTTCAGAGCAAAATTGAGCAGAAAGTACAGCTATTTTCCATTTACTGCTATCCCCACATACACACAGGCTCCCTCACTAAAAAAATCTTATACCAGAGCGGTACAGTGAACCTCCACACACACACAGATAATACCTGAGGTCAACAGTTTATATTAGGGTTCATTCTTAGTGTTTCACATTCTACACATTGTAACAAGTGTGTAGTGGTATGTATCCACCACAATGGTAACATATAGGATATCTTCACTGCACTAAAAATTCTTGTTCTCCTATTCACCCTCCTGTTCTCCCAATTCCCTGCAACTAATTAACTTTTCCCTGCATCTATAGTTTTGTCTTTTCCAGAAGTCACATATCTGGAATCAAATAGTATGTGGTCTGCTCAGATTGGTCTATTTCACTTGGTAATATATATTTAAAGTGCTTCCATGTCTTTCATGACTTTGAATTATTTTTTAGCACTAGATAATATTTCATTATCTGGAAGTACCACAGTGTATCTATGTATAAGAAAATCTTGGTTGCTTCCAAGTTTTGATGACTATGAATAAAGCTAGCACAAATATTGAAGTACAGGCTTCTGTATAGATACAAATTTTCAACTTATTTCAGTAAATACAAAGAAACGCAACTGCTGTATCATATGCTAAGACTATGTTTAGTTTCATAAGAAACTGTCAAACTGTCTTCCCAAGTGGATGTGCCATTTTGCATTATCTCCAGCAATGAATGCTGTATGAAAATGTGAATTAAAACAACAATGAGATCTCACTACACATCTATTAGAATGGCTGAAATTCAGAACACTGACAATATCCAGAGTTGGTGATGATGTTGAGTATCAAAATCTCAGATTCAATACAATCCCTATTAAAATACCAATGCCATTTTTCAAAGAAAGAATAATTTTAAAACTCCTATGGAAATGCAAAAGACCCTGAATAGACAAAACAGTGTTGAGAAAGAAGGGCAAAGCTGGAGGTATCATGTGCCCTGATTTCAAACTATATTACACAGCTACAGTAAAAAAAAAAAAAAAAAAAATGGTACTGGCATGAAAACAAACATAGGAGTTTAAAAGAACAGAATATAGAGAGCCTAGAAATAATGATAGTGATAGGCTGTCACCATCATTTAATTGACACCAAAGAAGATAATAATATACAATGGAGAAAACAGTCTCTGCAACTAGTGGTGCTGGGAAGTCGGAGCTAGTTGCCTACATGTAAATGAATAAGAACATTTTCTTATACCATATACAAAAATAAACTTGAAATGTATTAAAGTCTTAAATGTAAGACCAGAAACCAAAAAACCTCTAGAAGAAAACATAGGAACACTCTTTCACATAAATTGTGAAAGCTTTTTGGTTTTTTTTTTTTTTGGCTCTACCTCCTAATGCAAGGAGACAAAAACAAACTGGACCTAGTTAAACTTAAAAGCTTTTGCACAGCAAAGGAAACTTTTGACAAAATTAAATGACAACCTCCTGAATGGGAGAAAATACCTGAAAATGATGTGACTGATAAAAGGTTAATATCCAAAATACATAAGCAGCTCATATAACCCATCAAAACTGCAAACAACTCAATTTAAAAAAAATAGGCCGAAGACCTGGAGAGACATTTTTCCAAACAAAACCTATAGGTAATCAACACGCACAGGAAAGATGCTCCACATTGCTGATTTGAGAAATGCAGAACAAAACCAGAATGAGATAACACCTCACACTTGCCAGAATGGCTATCACCAAAAAGATCACAAAATACAAATTGCTGGTAAGGATGTAGCAAAAAGAGAACATTTGTGTGTTGTAGACAGGAATGTAAACTGGGATAGCTACTGTAGAAAACAATATGGAGGTTTCTCAAAAAACTAAAACTAGAACCACCATGAGTGGGTGAGTGCCAAGTCACTTCACTTGTGTCTGACTCTTTGTAACCCTATGAACTGTAGCCCACCAAGTTCCTTTGTCCATGGGATTTCCCAGACAAGAATCCAGGAGTGGGTTGCCATTTTCTACTCCACTGTGCTTGCCTGTTTCAGGACACCAATCTGTCCTGTTATCTCACTTCTCTGATAGATTTAAGACATGTTTTTTTTTTTTTTTTATTTTTCAGTTTGCTTAGCTTTGTACTGTTAGGATAGTGATCATGTCTAAGTTCCTTACACGTGTGGGAAAGCAGAAGTTCCCCACATACTCTTTCTCAGGAGATGGTGCTCCACAAAACTGGGGAGCACAATGAGAAAAGGGAAGACATGGGATGCAGAAAGCAAGATATTCTAATGGGTGAGAGAAAAAGAGAATTGCTAGGAGAGCAGAGAGGAACAGTCTCACGGTGCTTGCTGCGTAGGAGGCAAAGTGACAAAACAGGGAATTGTAGTTGCTCAGAACGGCGCCACAGATGCAGAATAAAAGGTGAGGAAGGAATCTGCATCCCTTCAGCAGGTCTCAGGAGAACCTGTTTGCCTCTGAGAGAAAGACTAAGGGACAAGGTTAACATGAAGATTTAATTTTTACCCTTGCCACATGCACAGGGTCCTTGCTCTTACTGGGGGAAAAAAAAAAACTTTATACAGTATTCATGTAGTATAATGCAATATGCAATATAATTGTTATATTCTCAAGAAATATATGCTCTCAAGAGTTAAGATTTTGTTTCCAAACATATATATTTAATACTTTCAGCAAATCAACCTGATGTCCTGACGATAATTAAGTTGCAGAGTATTTAAAGCTCCGAGCACACAAATCTAAAAACAATATGTCTACTCTAAAATATTAAATCTGGTTAGCATCATGATAAACATGGGAGATTACTTCTCAATTTGTTCCTGTTCTTCCTTTTTCCTAGCAGTAATTTAAAGCAATTTTCAAACTGTGCTTTAAGATTCATAACAAGTCCACGGATAGGGTTTGCTTAATTAATGAAAGTATATGTGTACTTGACTGAACTTGATGCATTGTTGCCAAGTGGTTAGGAGCATTGATGTTGAAGTCAAACAGATTTGGGTTCCAACTGTGTCCTTCTACATAACAAGTTATCTGACTGGGGAGAAAATACTTAAAACAAGTCTGTCCCTCAAGCTTCTTCCATTTGCAGAAATGGAGACTAAAAACTACTGAAAAGAACTAGCATGATAGCCGTGTGAGGTGTCTGGCATAGTGTCTAGTCTATGGTTATTCCTTGATAAAGTCTAGATAATTAGGGGCTATAATATAGTTAACCATACAAATTAAGGGCTTCCCTTAGTGGCTCAGACAGTAAAGAATCCACCTGCAATGCGGGAGTCCTGGGTTCAATCCCTGGGTTGGGAAGATCCCCTGGAAGAGGGCATGGCAACCCACTCCAGTAATTTTGCCTGAGAATCCCCATGGACAGAGGAGCCTGGTGGGCTACAGTCCACGGGGTCACAAAGAGTCAGACACAACTGAGTGATTAAGCACAGCACATACAAATTAAGGTTTGAAAGTGAAACTGAAAATGTTAGCCATTCGGTAGTGTCCAACTCTTTGCAACCCCATGGACTATAACCTGCCAGGCTCCTCTGCCAAGAGAATTCTCCAGGCAAGAAAATTGGAGTGGGTTGCCATTCCCTTCTCCAGGGGATCTTCACGACCCAGGGTCAACTCAGGTCTCCCACACTGCAGGCAGATTCCTTACTATCTGAGCCACAAGGGAACCCCAAATTAAGGTTTAAAAAGTAGCTATTCAGTAATAACTATTCAGTAATATCTAACGGCTATATAGAGTCCTGTGTTTTCTGTAGTGATACTGGGGGTAACTCTGAAATTGTGTACAACGTTTTCCTTCTACTTTCCTCACACTTAGTTTCCATTAAGAAAAATGGAAGAAACACTAGCAGTGAAACTGGAAGAATAAAGATAAAATGGAAAAAAGGCTTAAAGTGTAATTTTATTCTCACTTGTGACAATGACATAGTCCCTTATTTTGTTTCATTCTATAAATCACATATAGTTGTAGCTTTTGTTATGTGTATATTCTTTTCCTATCTTTTCTATGTAGTGAAGTGACTACTGTCAAACAGCTTGCAATATGCCTCTTGCGCTGTTCAGTCAGTCTCCGTGGACCATCATCCTAGAGTTAACCACCTCCTTCGCTGCTCTTTCCCCTGTACCATCCTGTTTTGCTGCAAATTCATTACTTAATAGAGTCTTTATCTCCTAGATATGAAAGAACACCCATTTCTCACCATCACTCTCAAGTGCTTTCTCCTGATTTTCCCAACCACCACTGACTTCAGGCCTCGCAGGCAGGATTAACATTCCAAACCCTTACACCTCTCTTTCTGTGCAAACCCTCTGTCCCACCAATATGCACGCCATCTGGACAAATCCTCCAATCTTCATTAATACTGTCGTCTGTCACTACTTCATAGGCTCCGCCATTTCAGACATGTGGGATCAGTCTTCCATTTTACTCAAATTACTGACATTATACTGGCTGAATCCAACGTCCATGTGCACAAGCTTTAAATATTCTAGCCATTTCCTTGCTAGAATTTATTTTCACTTGAACAACTAATTTCTATTGTAGAGAACTTTACTTTTACCTTCATCTGAGACTCCTCTGAAACTTTTCGTTTCATAATCCAATCTGACTGGAACTTCCAATCATCATTTCTCTTACTCTCCTCTCCCACTGACCCTGCATGAGGCTTCCAATCCTGTGAAACCTCCACTGGTTCTCGATTAATTAATGCTCATTTTTCTAGACTGTCCTTCATCAACCAGAAGACTATGGTTGAAGGCATAAAAAAATTTTATTACTAGCACCCTGACTGCCTTGATCATTTGTCCATCCACTAGATTTCCTCTACAAACTCCAAGTACAAAATCATGTCATCTGTTTTGTTTTCTAAATTTTTAGTTCATAGATTTCAGTTATCAAAGTACATAGTTCAAAGAACCAACTATCTCTACAAGATTTGTTATGAAAAAGTCAACCTCACTTCCTTTGCTCTACTTTGTCTTCACCACAGGCAATCATTTTCCTTCTTTCAGTTGACACTCCTAATATTCATTTCCATGAAGAACAAGTCAACTACTGTGTGCTGTGCTTAGTCCAACTCTCTGTGACCCCATGGACTGTAGCCTGCCAGGCTCCTCTGTCCATGGGGATTCTCCAGGTGAGAATACTGAAGTGGGTTGTCATCACCTCCTCCAGGGGATCTTCCTTACCCAGGGATCAAACTCAGGTCTCCTGCACCGCAGGCAGATTCTTTACCGTCTGAGCCACCAGCGATTAACAAATACACAAATGTCAGCAGCACGCAGCAATCAACTTCTTTCTCACACACAGCTGTGGGATGGCTGAGGTGACTGTGCTGTGAGCTGCAGGACTGGAGGTCGGCTGTGGCACTTCTGATCCTTGGGTCACACACTGCAGGCCACACTGGAGGGACGGCAACCAGACTGTGCCTTCCTTAGGACAACAGGTGCAGCAAAGGGCAAACCCAACAGCAGAGGCACATCTATGCCTCTATCTACATCTCCTCTGCAAAAATCCCAAAGCAAGCTAGCAGGCTAAATCCAGAATCAAGGAGCAGAGAAAGAGACTTCACTTACCAGGAGGACATGGTAAAGGTAAAAAGCAGAATACTGTCAGGCCTGAACAACTGAAATAGTTTACTATCACACCGTCTCTCTAAAGAACATACAGCTCCATTTTCTGAGTTAACCCTCAGATATAGAAGAATTTTGTCTCCTCTCCTCCCCGCATCACAATGTACACCAACACTTTCTACTTCCCATGCCTTCAGTATCTTAATTTTCGGTTACATGGCGTGTTTACATTAGTGACTGTGTCATCATTGCTCATAGCTAAGTCATACACTGAAATTCCTTTCCTGCACAAAGTCTTGGTCTTTCCTGGAGTTATAACTTCTCTTTTGTTTAAACTGTTTAGTTTTCTTTATGCCTATGGGTCATTCAACAGCAAATAACTATTTGTCTAGATCTACTCTGAAGATACTCAGACATTAGTAAGGTATTCACCAACTTTGTATTCCTGAAGAAGTCACCCTTGGAGTCTTCTGACCTTTTTCAGCAGGGACTGGTGACTGACACACAGCTATCATCCTGAGAACACCCTACACCATGATCCTGGGGATATTCTTCATGTTTCTCCTGCCATGAATTTCCAACACCCATGTAATTTTTTTTTTAAATTTTTTTTTAATAACCCCCTGAACACATTCTCCAGTAGCTTTCTGAGAAAAGGACTGCAAGAGGTAAGCTTTAAAAAACACTTTTTGTTGCATTATTTCTTTGATATTTCTTCCTCTCAATTTTCTCTTTGGGCAAGTTTTGTCATTGAATGTTGACTTTTTGTTTATAATAAACAAATGTTCTTCTAATGAACTTCTAATGTTCTTTTCTCCACTGTATTTCATCTTTTAATATTTTGGGGAAAGTTCCTCAGATTTTAACTCCAGATCTTGTTTTTATCCTCTGAACATTAATTTGTTTGAGCATTCTGATCTTATTTCACGTTTGCAATGAAGTTTTACCTCTTTAAGAGTTTTCCTTTCTCTGCATATTCGCTGTTCTCTCATGGTATGCTTTTCTCCTTGTTTTGGTCTCTATCATCCACGGTAAGAGCATTCTTCAAGTGGGATGGTAAAACCTATTCAGCAATGAGTGAAGGAGTGGGGTTTGTAAACCGTGAGCCTCACTACAGGGTGACCGGGTTGAGATGATTACCAGGGAACCTCTGAGGTGAGTACTTTTAGATCTTTCTTCTTAGACTAAACATATTATTCAAATAAAACATTTCCAAAGTCCAGCCAGGAGAGAAAACCAAGCTACCAAGATACTTGCTGCTGAGTGGGAGAAGACGCCCAGGGCGTCGCCCGTCAGGTAGGCAGTATGCACGTGGTCTGTTAGTCATTGTTTGGGGCAAGGCACTCTTCCTTCAACCAGTGTTCTCTTCCCGACAGAGGGCGCTCTTCCCCCCCCCCCACCTGCTTCTGTAGTGGGGATGGGGAGGGTCACAGAGTAGAGAAGGTGATCTAGAGTTCAGACTACTTTTTAGTAGTTTTTACGTTCCACTAACGTCTCCTAATTTTGTGCCCCTTCACTCAGTTCTATGGGTTGTTGTTGTTCAGTTGTTAAGTCATGTCTGATTCTTTGTGACCCCATGCACTGCAGCACACGAGGCTTCCCTACCTTTCACTATTCCCCTAGAGTTTGCTCAAACTCATGTCCACTGAGTCAGTGATGCCATCCAACCATCTCATCCTCTGTCTAGGGGTACCTGGGGCTACTAGGTTCCTGAACTTTTGAGCAATTCTATTGTAGTCAATTTTAATTCTTAGCTTTCCCTACAATTCCCTTCTAATTCAGCCTTCTCAGATTTATTGCTGTCAGTTACTATTCATTCACCTTCTTTCTAGTTATTTGTTTGCCATCACCACTTCTCATTCTCCTTATTCCTGTGGGTTCCATTGTTTTTAATCCCTTGCTAAGGGACTTTAATGAGGTTTTGGTAGTAAACAAAATTAGATCCATGTTCAGTTGGTTATCTTGACCCAGAAATAGGACTATGTGCATTCTAATTAGGTAAGTAATTCCAAATTGTCACCTATTGAGGTGGCTTCAATTTACATTTCCATCAACAACATATGAGAACATGGCAGAGTTGTTAACATGAGGTAAATGAAAAGGACTCAGAGGAACTGGAAAAACCTCTAAAAATATTATTTTGTGTATAATGCAGTTATTTTTCTGGGGAGGGATTCAACAAGTGTCAGAGCTTTTATAACACAAAAAAGTAAGGGACTATTGTTTTACAGTGATCATGTAATGGTCCGCGTTACAAATAATCCAATCACGTATCTATTTTTCCAGCTTCAGCATCACTTGCAGGTTTACTTCTGCAAAGCAGCCTGGCAAGTTTGCCCAACAAAGAATATATACACTGGAGAAAAGCTAAACCAAAGGCATGCATGCACAAGTTCCTCACTCCATTACAGAACCCTACTCAGAATGTTTCAAGTAGAAACAAAATAGGCTATCTTACATTGAGGTAAATAATGAACACCTGCATTCAATTTATCATCTGAAAAATCAGACTTGAAGCCTTTTGCATACATTTACATTGTTTGAATTATGCAATGTATTTTAGAACTACAGGAGAGACAGTTGTCCAAGAAGCTTTGTTCTTACAATATATCCAATCATTGTGTGAGTAAATAAACAACTCAGACTAAGTCCATATGAGGTTAATAACACAGATGCAGTCCTCAGTCTTTAGGAAACAAAGTACTAATGACTGGCTAAGGACAGGATTTCTTCTAGTACAAATTTTTAGATTAGTTTACACAGAATTACATTCACAAAAGGTTTTCAAACACCAGTTTCAAAAATACTATCAGTTTATTCAGATTTTTTTTTGCCAGTACTATTCAACCAAAATCTACTCTGAGCTTACAGACAAACACCACCCATATATATATATCAGTTAATTATTACCTAGAAGGTGATACTTTTTTTGCTGCATCCAGATAATTAGAGATGAAAGTAACATGGAAAAATGAATTTCAGTGGAAATTTATATCTGTTTTTAGCTATTTCTGTTGACCCTCACAATCAAATATTGTCAAGAATTATTAAAAACTATGAAGTTCGCTGGAGTATTTTACTCTTACGTAACTTCTTTGAAAAAATAAATTGATGAAAGTTATCAAATTAAGAAACTGAGATACTATCCAGAAACCCATTGAGTAGACATGTCACACATGCATTATCCAGCCTCAGTGTCAACAACTAAGGGAAAAACTGAAACACTATATCAATATCCAACCACAAAGATAAGACAACTTTAAATTCATGCAGGGAGAACTGTTAGATGGCTGCCATTGTAATCTCATCAAGAGATCATGAAGATCTGAAATAAATATAGAGCCAGAAGCTATTTCAGCATAAGTAGGGTTGGAGATGCTATTACCCCAATTGGAAGGTGCAGAAAAAGAGAAGAGGTCTGTTGGTCAGATTCATGGCATCAGTTTAAGTTCCCTGTAGGATAACTAGTAGGAATACACAAAAGAAGTTGTAAATACATATCCAACACTTAGAAACAGATAAAGAATAATTAGAAAACTTGGGGAATATCTACCCAGATATGATAGCTAAGTTGGTAAAGAATCTGCCTGCAACGCAGAAGACCCCGGTTCTATTTCTGGGTCTGGAAGATCCGCTGGAGAGGGAATAGGCTACTCACTCCAGTATTCTTGGGCTTCTCTTGTGGCTCAGCTGGTAAAGAATCCACCCGCAATGCGGGGGGCCTGAGTTCGATCCCTGGGTTGGGAAGATCCCCTGGAGAAGGGAAAGGCAACCCATTCCAGTATTCTGACCTAGATAATTCCATGGACTGTACAGTCCATGGGGTTGCAGAGTCGGACACAATAGGCAACTTTCACTTCACTACCCAGATACTAAGCAAATATTAATGGAAAATTTACCGGGCATCCTTTTCTAAAAACACCGAGAAGGATGAATGAGGCTGGGGAAAATTATACAAGCAAATCAAACACAAGGAAATCAAATGTGTATGTTCACAGGTTGGGAGAAATGTAGAAAACCAACA